TACGATTAGATAACATTGAAACAGAATTGGCCACCACTCAGAAATGTGTCGATAAACAACTTGTGAAGCCTGCCAGAGGGTTAATTATGTACGGGCCACCTGGTAAGTTTTTTGAAGTCTTAACGTGAAATTTGTTGATTGCTGTTGAGTTTTAATAGGTACAGGAAAATCAGAAATTATGAGCAAATTGGCAGTTAAGCTGGGTATTGCTATGGTAGGACCACCGTTGGCGGCCGGTGAACTGAATCGACCGTTGGTGGGTGAAAGTGAACGTGTCATTATTGCCCTCTGTACACGTTGCCACCGGCTTCCCTACGCCATGTGTTGTGTGTCGATCGATGAGATCGATTCTCTAGCGCCAAAGCGGGATGAAGACTCTAGCGAGGGAAAGATTGACAAGATTTCCGTTCTATTATCGCTCATAGACGGAATCAAAGATGTTCCGAATCTGATGATTCTATGTGCAACTAATCGATTACATATGATGGACGAAGCGTTTCTTCGTCGAATATCTGGCAAGTTTTTCGTGGGTCGACCTTCGTCCAAGGCACGAACTTCGATTCTGAGCACGATTCCTACATGGGCGTTGAAACCGGAAATTCTCGATCGTTTATCGAGCGCTACGACCAATTTTAGTGGAGCGGCTGTCAGGTAAAATGATATACATTTCATAATATTCGAAACTCTATCTGAACTTTGGTCCTCTCATAATCTCTCCCAGTAAATTTCCTATTCAGTTGGATGGAAATATGCTTATATAGCTTTTTTCTTTTCTTTTAGAGCATTCACACGAGCAATCACCGTAGAATGCATCGCTACTCAACGTTCACAGCCCGATTATCAAATTTGTTACGAAGAAGCACTCCAAATTGCCGATCGCACCGCACAACAATATCAAATTTTGTTTGGTAGTGAAACTCTACCTCGTCTTATTTTGCGTAATATGCCGAACGGGCCTCGCACTCGATTTCACCAATTATCAAATGATCACCACTACACTGGACGAATCGTTATCGATCTGGATGGTCGCCATGTTCGCATCGAAGTTCATAATCAACGACAATCATCGGAAATAAGTTCTTTGTCCATCATCGAACACGACTTACACGATAATGAAACCAATGTTCAAGCACTGCTCGAACGGTTAACTGTCTACGGAAATGATCGCAATGTACAATTACTACAATTGGTCGATCTGAATCTACTTGCTTCACATAACGCCTATGACGAGAAGAAAGTGTTTGAAACTTTGAAAGAACGATATGATGAATGTACTTGTTATTCTCGTTCGATGATTGTCTACGATCTTGATGCTCTGGTTGGGGTGAACAAATCTGAATCGGATTCGAATATGGGTCGATCGATTTCGTCTTCTGTTGTTAATCAGAATATTTACACTTATGTACGAGCCCGATTTCGTGATTGTGTCGTGGAAGGGAAACAAAACCGAACGGACTCTCGTGACAATGCAGTAGAACGATGGGGTGTAGTTATCATTCGGGAGCCATTTTTGTTACGGCAATTTACAAATGATGTACAGTTTGCACGTACACGTCAAGAAGAGGAGGAGTTCGAGCTGGAACGACATAAAGCTGAGGATCTTCTCAAATGTGTCAAATGTAAAGACTTCTACATCGAAAACGAAAACAAAATGGGTAAATTCCGAATCGCTCGTTTATGTGTTGGTTCGGTAAAGCATCTTGCTTTGTTTTAGGTAACTGTGTTCATCATGATGGTTTTGTTTATGATAATGCGGCGGCCGATCTAGCTATCTACACGCGCAGCCAGGCAGCTCTCTTATTGAGTAAACTCGAAAGTGATGTGATCAATGATCCAGAACGTCACGATGAACTCGAACGTGAAAAAAACAAGTTCAAATGGATATGTTGCGATGCAGCACTCTCTAGTGGCAATACTGGTGGCTGCAAGAAAGGTAAACATGGCTTCGAGTGGGTGGGTGATGATGAACAGGAACCGAAAGAACAGACTGATGCGAGATTGGATCAACTAGGCTACGCCACTATCCAACGTTGGGAAGAGTGTTGTCGTGTCAATGAAGAGTACAACGAGAAGTGGCTGAAATTACTAGAATCGCGTGACTAATGTCTCACAAATATTTTTCTTCTGTCACTTTGCCAGTTGATCCGAGCTTTTCACATAATTCATTAATAGAAAACAGTGACGTTTCCTTCTTTTCTTTATAGATGGACAGCTTTCAGTGTGTACTGCGTTTTTGCCTACCAAAATAACGAATCTCATCTACATGATCGCAGTAAATTGCTGGGAGAGATTGACTGTAAGCAGACAAGCATTTATTGAAACAAACGATACGAGCTATTGAAATACTCTATTCACATAGATATCTCACGTAAAAACCAGCAGCAATGAGAGACTATTGGGTGGGTGTGGGGTGTGGGTATGGGTATGGGTGTGGGTGTGGGTGTGTGGGTGTGTGGGTGGGTGTGTGGGTGGGTGTGTGGGTGTGGGTGTGGGTGTGGATGTGGGTGTCAGTAATCGAAACAAAGCAGCACACACCCACACCCACCACACCCACATCTACCATACCCACCATAACCACACCCACACCCTCAAGATTATGTTTTCATCAAATTTAGTTGATATCGCGAACCATAAGACGATTGATTCAGCTTTAAAAATGAATCTCCTTCTATCTAATTGGATGAAGTGCTATATATTTATGTGATTTTCAAGAAAAAAGGCAAGAAAAAAGATTTTTGAATATGAATTAAGCAAAAGAATGTTTCAGAAAATAGAAAATGATTTAATGACCGAAAAAATTGTCGAATTTCAAAATTTAGTCTAATGTTTGGGATTCATTAAATTTTTAGTATAGGATTAAATCTTTAAGTAATTATTTCATAATGCATTTTTAACTTGAAAAATGTTATTCACTCTTCTGAATACATATAGTTTTTTCTTTTCGTTCTGTCGTAAGCGTACGACAGAGCGAAAAGAAAAAAGTAAAGAAAAAACAAAACAGTTCTTCTTGCAGGGAATTCTGTTTGAAAAAAAATTGCTTGGGACTACACTATACCCCGCGCTCATATTCTAGCTTAAGACTCAGTTTTTTGCGCTCTTTCTAACGGTACCACTCTTACATGTTAGACTTTTAGAAATTTTTTTTCGACGGTTTGATATGTCTTTTGCTAGCTCTTTTTGTATTAACTAACAATTGAAAGTCATGCAACAGCAAATTAAGAAGATTACTCATAGTCGAATGAAATGAATACTCTCACATACAGAGAAACTAGTTTAAAACATGAACTCCCAATAGCGTACAGAAACAGAAATGTTTAAATTTTAAAATGTTTACAGTTTGTCATGTGCCCACACTACGAAATTTCATCAAGTTTTTGTTTTCTTTTTTCGTCATGGTTGGATGGAACACGACTATTTACACGAGAACAAGCAATATCACACACATTCAAAAGCAATTTGACAGCAATTAAGATATTTTGTTTACTACCCATATAATTAAAAAAATGTTGTCCTAAACTATGTTGAATTTGCTTTTTAATATGAGTGATATTGTTTTTTTCTTATGTAAATGAGCCTGCTCTATTCAGCCATGAAGGAAAAGGAAAACTTATCGTTGATGAAATTTAGTAGTGTGAGTACATAACAAACTGTAAACTCCTTGAAACTCGAATATTTCATAGAGTCTGTGATCATCTTTTTTCTTGCTATATGTCTATAGCATTTGTTCAGTCTCATTATCTTCTTCTCTCTGTTTTATATATACCTTTTTTGTTTTTTTTCCACCTTTTTTCTTGTTGAACTTATTCTTTCATGTCCAGTATTGTGTCTGTTACCTTCATTATTACGTTTCCATATTTAGATTTCCAATAAACAAACTTACGAATGTTAAACTCATTATTGCATGCCCATATTATTAGTAATCAAGATTAAGATAAGACCTGCTTAGGTGAGATTTCTAGTCCTATAAAGACCAAGAATTATACTAATTATCTTTCGGTTTACGTATATCACGGGGACAGAAGTAATGGACGGTAGCAGAAAATCTCACAATCATTTACATAAAAATGCCCATCGAGTATGTTTGTTGTAATGGTCGTATTTAATCGAAGAATTATCGTTCATTTCATGAGTGGATGTGGATGTTGGTCTTCTCGTCTCGCACACTTACACCCACATCCACACCTTCAAGATATGACTGAGTATCAAAGTAAGAGAAAAGCTTGACCAATCATCAAGCTGAAAGTTCGAGGAGTGGCTATTGACTCTGAGCTGTATAATGGCTGAAAGTTTCATGTGAAACTGCTTATGTTTTCTATATGGGGCCGATATAAAGGCAAAACGTCCTTCAGCTTTTATTATTTTTTCTTTCCTGTCCTTCTTTATGTAGAATTTTCAAATTTTATTTACTCTTATTTTACGTAGTAATCTGCAAATCATTCGCATCAATTTTATTTAGGAAAGCGAATCAATTAATCTGTGTTGATGGTTGGAAAAAGAAACTTTCATTCTTTTTACATATTGTTGAGAAATTAAGTAAGATAATTTTGAACTAAAGATGATGTTTTACCCGTGCATATTAGAGAATTCAATGAGCTGATCTTTTTTAATAAATCATCTTATAAATTGATGTTTGTCGTAATTTGATTAATTATAAGAAAGAAGATATTCTCAATTATGTATTGACCTTTACTTGGTTTATTTTGAACGGATTGAGGATTTTCCCACTCTCATGCCTTCATTGGAAGGTTTCTGTAATCACTTCGGAAACTAGACATCGATGTGACCAATATTTTTTGTTGTGTGTACGTATAAATGCATAGTTTTTGGGTATTATGAGTTTGTATCAATTGGAACCAATCCAGACCAGTTGAAATCACTGGATTGGTGACTCTTCGCCATTTTTTACTACTTTGAAAAAATATTCCTCTAGTTTCTACAGGTTTGATTGAAAATAAGAATTTCAGAAGCTTTTAAATATAAATTTTTTTTTCTAATAAAATATGTCGAGTGCAAGTTCAAGTTGTTTTATCAAAATAATTGTATTGTTTCATAAAGGCGTGGTATGGGTATGTGTCTTTTCTAGTCTACATCCAGACTCACATCCTCAAGGTAGTTTCAAATCAGAGCTGCCGGCCTGGCCTGCTGCCTGGCAGGCGCCTGGTGGCC